ATGGTTTGATTCTTCCTCTCAGCTACATCATTTTGTTGCAGTGTGTATGAAGCAGTGAGCTATATTTGAATACTCAACTCTTTACAAAAATCAACAAACTCCCTGAAGGTATATTCTCGCCCTATGTCACGTAAAATTTCAATAAAGGTACCAACTTGTTTTTATACTAATGTTGTATTCTCCCGTGTGTATGAGGCAGTTGTTAGGATCGAGCGCTTACCACTAGGCCAAAAGCTATAGCCATTAGTCAGAGCGCAACTCTTTTTACTTTAACAGCCCAAGCGCCACGATTCAATTGTGACTCGGCCCACCTGACCTTCGTCACGGGACAATTGATGCTACCTGCAACAATCTCCCCCTCAGCAATTGTCCTACAAGGTATCCCACTCTTGGATTGTGACTCGGCCCACCCGGCCTTGTTGCAGGTAGCATCAATTGTCCTGTGGCAGAGGCCGGGTGGGCCGAGTCACAATCGAATCGTGGCGCTTGGGCTGTTACTCTTAAGTAAAAAGAGTTGCGCTCTGACTAATGGCTATAGCTTTTGGCCTAGTGGTAAGCGCTCGATCCTAACAAATGGTATCAGAGCCAAGGTCACGAGTTCGATTCCTAGTGGGGCAATTGTTGAGGGGGAGATTGTTGCAGGTTGCACAATTGTCCCGTGGCGCAGGCCAGGTGGGCCAAGTCACAATCAGTGGCGCAGGCTAGATGGGCCAAGTCACAATCCAAGTTGGATTCCTCGTAGGACAATTGCTGAGGGGGAGATTGTTGCAGGTAGCATCAATTGTCCTGTGGCAGAGGCCGGGTGGGCCGAGTCACAATCGAATCGTGGCGCTTGGGCTGTTACTCTTAAGTAAAAAGAGTTGCGCTCTGACTAATGGCTATAGCTTTTGGTCTAGTGGTAAGCGCTCGATCCTAACAATTGGTATCAGAGCCAAGGTCACGAGTTCGATTCCTAGTGGGGCAATTGTTGAGGGGGAGATTGTTGCAGGTTGCACAATTGTCCCGTGGCGCAGGCCAGGTGGGCCAAGTCACAATCAGTGGCGCAGGCTAGATGGGCCAAGTCACAATCCAAGTTGGATTCCTCGTAGGACAATTGCTGAGGGGGAGATTGTTGCAGGTAGCATCAATTGTCCTGTGGCAGAGGCCGGGTGGGCCGAGTCACAATCGAATCGTGGCGCTTGGGCTGTTACTCTTAAGTAAAAAGAGTTGCGCTCTGACTAATGGCTATAGCTTTTTGCCTCGCTCGATCCTAACAGCATTAAGCTATCTTTGAATATTATGCTCTTTACAAAAATCAACAAACTCCCTATAGGTATATTCTCCCCCTCTATTAGTACGTAAAATTTGAATAAAGGTATCAACTTATTTTTCTACTAATGTTTTATTCTCCCCCTATCAGTACGTACAATTTCAATAAAGGTACCATTCTCCCCCTCTACCAGTAAGTAAAATTTGAATAAAGGTATCACCTTGTTTTTCTACTAATGTTGTATTCTCCCCTATCAGTAGTAAAATTTGAATAAAGGTACTAACTTGTTTTTCTTCTAATGCTCTAAAGTTTTTAAAGGTCTCAAATGCTTCACTTTTCTCACCAAGGAAATATACCCATATTTTCCTACTAAAATCATCAGTGAAAGTGAGTATGTATCTTTTATTTTATTTCTATTAGATGTAGGATTGATGTGACTACATATATCAGAATGGACTAATTGTAACACTTGAGATGCACGTTAATTTCTTTGACGTAGAAAATGATGTTTCCCTTTGAGACAATGTTTACACAGTTGAATTGAGGACTTTAAGGTAGGCGGCGCTTTCACTGTATCATGCTTTAACAAGGTTTCTAATCCACTATAACTCAAATGACCATAAAGAGAGGGTCTGATGTTGAACTTAATTAAAAACAAGGGTAAGAAACTCCATATTTTACAGAGATAGCAAACGTGCGATTAGTAGTCATAGATGTTTTAAATATCAGACACTCTCTTTGAAAGACTTCACACTTATTTTCTTTCATTTCAATTCTTAATCCTTTCTCCAAAAATTGACTCACACTAAATAAATTATTCTTTAACTCAGGAACATAAAATACATCCGTAACCGCATGCATAACTTTATTAATTATCAATTTAATCGTGTCCTTCCTGTCACCTTTAAAGCATAGTTATTCCCTAACTTCACTTCATCAGAAAAAATAAAAATCCATAGAAGAAAACCAGTCCTTTCTACCTGTCATGTGATTGGTGCAACCTGAATCAATGAACCACATATCTTGTGTAATTAATTATTCATCTGTTGAAAGTTGTGCCATAAGTAACACGACTTCTTCACCCCCTTCGTCATAATTTGCTCTGTTATCTTGAGACTTTTTGGACGATATTCATATTAGAAGTGTCCAAACTCATGGCAGTAGTAACACTCTATTGTTGCCTTATTCATAAATTATCTACCTCTTCTCTCTTCCTCTTCCTTTTGCATATGCTCATTGAAAAACACTTCTTCCTGTTCATTATTAGCCCTTGTCTCCTACTGTGAAACCTTCAATACTTGCTTTTCATGAGAATTGTGTCTATTCATTCTCTGCTCATGCACTAATAAACTACTTTGGAGTTCATCTATAGTCATGGAATCTAAATCATGACATTCCTCGATGGAACATACTATATCATCGTACCTCAAAGTCATTGAACTAAGAATTTTTTCAATAACAATAAGGTCAGATACCTTCTCACCTTGCATTCTCATCTTGTTTGCAATTGTGAGAGACCGAATAGAGTAATAATTAATTGATTCATCATTTTTCATTTGTAGAATCTCTCTTTTGCGTAGTTGAGCTTGTTTCACCCTCGCAGTGCCTTGATATTTGATATTTTTGTTTCAATGAATCCCAAATCTTCTTCGACATTGCCTTCTTTGAGATGGTTTCAATTCAAGCACAATTCTATCAATAGCTTGAAATAAGTAGTTTTTCACCTTCAAATCCTTTAATTTTAACTTCTCTAGAGCTTTTTCTTCATTAATTGATAAAACAACCCCATCTGCATGTTGTGGAATACTAGGAACTATAAGATTCTAATACTCTTTTTACCTAGGAAGTTTTCCATTAGCAATGCTCAATGGTCGTAATGCTCATTCAACTTTGGAATTGCATGTTGCACGAAGTGACTGTCCGTGCTGGCCATAATAGAAGTTTGCAACTTCTGAAAGTTGAAACTGGATCTGATACCAGTTGTTATGTCAGAAAACTTGATTTTATTTTTCTCTTTGTAAAATAGAGAAGTTAAATATATAGATTTAACTTTACAACTGATGAATTAGAAATTAGGAAAGATAACTCTCACGTATTAGCAAACTCTCACTTGTACTAACGGCTTGTGTACAAAATTTAAACTACAACACTATTTACTCACATGCATATATTTTTTTCCTTTTGGAAGGGAACAATCAATGTAATTATTCTTTCAATGTATCATTTTTTGGTCAAATAAAATTCACAGGCATGTATATAAGAAGAAACCCTGTCAAATATAAGGATTTTTCGGTTGCTAGTTGAATCTTATTAATTGCGTGAAAATAGGAGACATCAAATTCAGGAGTCCTAGAGTTTTATAAAACGCTTTTCATGGAAAAAGTATAAATAAAAAATCTTGCTGAATTTGAATTGGGTGCATGATTATAAAAAATAATCTAAGAAATAGCTAGAATTCTTATTTCTTTCGATATCTTTCTATTGATGCCTTTTATTGGATCTCTTAATTGTATTGATTTATTTAAAAGATTATATTTCAATTAAAATTTGGTTATTTATCATGCAGAGTATTTTTGCTAAGTATCCATGACTAAATGGTTAAATTCCGCCCAACTTGGCGAATTCCTAGGCTCAATTCTAACCCATATCCTGGGTTGGGAAAAATTTTAGATACTTAGATTCCTATAAACCTTTGAGAAAAGTATTGCTATGCAAAAGGAAAATAATAATAATAATGTAAAACTTTGATAGTTATTATTTTCTATACATGCATATTAATTATAAAAAACATTTCATGTATCATCATTTTATATTTAGCACAATGAATTACATTCAACACTAATATTTGTTTATATATTTGATGACAAAATTTGAAGGGTGAAAGTAGGTCTATGGAAGGTCTCAAACAAGAAGTATGATAGTTTGTACCGTTTATAGAATTTAAATAATTATAATGCTACATCTAATATATTTATTTGCTTCATATATTTCTTATACTGGAGAAATAATTTATAAGTGATAATAAATTTCCATATGTTTAATATTTTTAAGGACAACATTGGTTCAATTAAAAATATAGTTAATTATCTTTCCATTTAATATGATTATATTTAATATGCTGCTAAATATTTTAAAACCTATTTTTATTTTTGAACATACATTTTTAAATAAATATGAATCATAAATATAAAAATATATAATTTAAGTAAACTGTGCATTACACAGTAATTTGAAAGAAAATTCAAACTGTACTATCATGATTAATAAACTTAGAAAATATTCATAATGTAATTACATTTTTTATTACAAATAATTCTTCAGTCCTATCCGTATTAATAGTACAAACAGCGATGTGCTTGTGGCAGGGAATTATTGACTTTTCTGTTGCTATTTTGTTGAGTAATAAAATTAAGAACTCACCCACTTTTGTTAATGCTGATCAGTTTTCATATTCTAATCCATAGATTCATCAAGAATTAATGTTTATTATATTTATTATGGTGTAAATTTGTACACATGCATGCATGGTTAAAATCATCAAACAGTAGATTGTGAACGTGGAGTGTTTTGTACGTTTTAATTTCCATTCGTGATTGATGACAAGTTGTCATAAGTTATTTTTTGGAAACCCCTATAAATGACAACACCAATTCTCATACATCAAATTCGTATTCACTTATCTTATGGTTACTAGTGTCTTTTAGCTTGTTACTCCGTGCTTTTCTACTTCAAACCAAACGTATTGTTTTCCATGGCATACCAAAAGCCTCCTTCAATTCCAATCACAGATCTTGAAGCACAGGAAATTACTTCTACTCCTACTCCTACTCCTTCCACCACCCCACCAGCCAAAGGTTACTCAGCCAAAGTGGTGGTGAACAGATTGAAGAGCAACTTGGTTTTTCATTCAAAATGGGGTGAACTCAATGGTGCCATGGGTGACCTTGGAACTTATATACCAATAGTCTTGGCCTTGACCCTTGCTAGGGACCTCAACCTTGGCACCACACTCATCTTTACAGGTGTGTACAACATCATCACTGGTGCCGTCTATGGGGTCCCTATGCCAGTCCAGCCCATGAAATCCATTGCTGCTCAGGCCTTGTCGGACACCAGCTTCGGAGTGCCGGAGATCATGGCCGCGGGTGTATTAACCGGTGGGGTGTTGTTTGTTTTGGGTGTGACAGGGTTGATGCAGCTCGTGTACACGTTGATTCCTCTGAGTGTTGTGAGGGGTATTCAGCTAGCACAAGGCTTGTCATTCGCTTTGACAGCGGTCAAGTATGTGAGGAAAATTCAGGACTTGCCAAAGAGTAAATCTTTGGGTCAGAGGCATTGGTTTGGGTTGGATGGGTTGGTTTTGGCCATTGTGTGTTTGTGTTTTATTGTGATTGTAAATGGGGCTGGGGAGAATAATAGAGGGTGTTGTGATGGTGTGGAAAGTGACGGCGTTGATTTGGGTGGCCGAAAGAGGAATGATATTGCAAGAAACAAGACAAGCAGGGTGAGAAAGGTTATTTTCTCACTACCTTCTGCTTTCATGGTGTTTGTGTTGGGGGTTGTTTTCGCCTTTATTAGAAGGCATGAGGTGGTGCATGAAATAAAGTTGGGACCATCTCCAATAGAAGTGGTGAAGTTCTCTAAGCATGCATGGAAAAAAGGCTTTGTGAAGGGTGCAATTCCCCAACTCCCATTGTCAATTTTGAACTCTGTGATTGCTGTTTGCAAGTTGTCATCAGATTTGTTCCCAGGGAGGGATTTCTCAGTCACTTCATTGTCAGTGACAGTGGGGTTGATGAACTTGGTTGGAAGCTGGTTTGGTGCAATGCCAAGTTGCCATGGTGCTGGTGGACTTGCAGGGCAGTATAAGTTTGGTGGTAGGAGTGGTGGTTGTGTGGCACTTCTTGGTGTTGCCAAATTGGTGTTGGGGTTGGTATTAGGAAGTTCTTTGGCACACATTTTAAAGCAATTTCCTGTGGGAATTTTAGGGGTGTTGCTCCTGTTTGCCGGAATTGAACTAGCCATGTGTTGTAGGGACATGAAAACCAAGGAAGACTCCTTTGTGATGCTTATCTGCACTGCAGTTTCACTAGTGGGATCAAGTGCAGCTCTCGGCTTTTTATGTGGAATGATTGTTTATGTGCTTCTAAAGCTAAGGAATTGGACAAGGGATAAACCACTTTCTACCATTTGGACAATGACAAGCCCGGAGCAAGTATGAAGAAATTGCTTTTGGATATCTAACGCTTTTAAATTGTTGGTAAATAAGTCAATGAGTGAAGCTTTCAAAAGTGATTATAATCATAAGGATGGAGCGTGGACCATAGATTGGATACCAGGAACTTCAGTTGTTGCTTACTATTGGAAATTATTAGAATATATCCAAATAGGAAGTATTAACCAAAGTGTATTTGAATATGTTCAGATAATCAATAAGATGATTTGACACATCATATTCAAAATGTGATGCTCAAAGTTGCATAACTCATCATTAATGGTTAGCATGAGATAGCGATTCAAAAACGATGAATGAAGGTAGACCCAATGGTTTTGAAAAATATAAGGTTGCAAGTCAACATACAAGAGGATTTTGAAGAAAACTAAGATAAAAATTCATAATAACTTTCGAATACAAAAAGAGTTGAAGCTACAACAAAACATTAGGTTAGAGTAATATAGATTAATCAAAACATAAAGAAATAAGAACATTTATTAACAAAACAAAGCAGACAAATCAACGATTACATGACACTAAAAATAGAATCAGACATAGAAACATAATACAAGTTTCAAAAATTTTGATTGAATCGATCAATATATTATATCTGAACACACCAATAATATAATCTGAAATTTGAAGGAAGGAACCATCACCGAATCTTGCGCGGCAGGTATTGGCGCGTTGTCGCTTGTTACCAAAACAGAGGAAAAAGGGGAAACTTTTTTGACATTTTTGACACAGGAAACAGTGGGGAAAACTTTGGACACTTTACAGCCAAAGAGGGTCATTTTTCCACGCTCGATCAGTTAGTTCCTCGGTTCTCCAAATCTCCCAAATTTCCTTCCATTTTGAATTTCGATTCACTTCTCTCTTTTTTCACACCTAAATTTTGAGATGATTGTAATTTTTATCTTTATAAAAATTTAACTATAGATTTTATGTTTCAAATTTTAAAATTAAATACTTTGATTCACTGCTAATATCTCATCTAATCGTCGACAAAAAATATTACTTTTTTTTAAATAATAATGATATTAATTACTAATTTTCATAAGATATTAATAAAAATATTTAACAACATACTTTAATGAATACTTCATACTTTTTATTATAATAGAATATTTACTTAATTAATTTTTATTTCAGCAAGAATTTTTATTTATAAGTTTGTTAATTCCATGTATTTTTCAACATCTCGTTCTCAATACATATATTCACAATTCTCTTTTTGTTTACATAAGTATTTCCCTCCAATTTTAAGCAATTCAAAATTATATTTAAAATATTTTTTTATATAAACAACTCATAAAATATAAATTATCCAACTTTTATTATAAATATTTTAAATTTATTATTAAGTTTTATTTAAATAATTATTTATTATATATTTATGACAATATTTTTTTATACTCAAATGAAATTAAATCACTTGTTTGGGAAGTTTTTCTTTTCTAAACATTTCATTTGTTTTAGAAAAAAATTATATCATAAATTAGATGTTTAAGATATCGGTTTGAATTTAGAACAATAAATTCTGAATAACCAAGTTATTGCTTTTATTAATCAAAAGAATTACAATTTAATCACTTCTCAACAGATTTAATTATATACACGTGTCTTTTAAATAGATGGTAAATGGGTTAAGGTCAGTAAATCCAACTGTTAATCTGACTTAAATTAATGGATTAATTTAATAATTTTAACGTGTTAGTCTGCTTTAATAATTATAATTATAATTTAAAATATTAATTTTTTATATTACATATTATTTATTTTAATAAACAAATATTTATAATATTATAATTTAAATTTGTCACCCCTAATTTTTTAAAGCACAAGCTACTGTTTTGTTTAATTCTAAACGAAATTAATTGTTTTAAAACTGCTTTTTACCAAATTTATCCAGAAAAAAAACTATATTTTTTACTATAATTTATTATGCATATATAATAAATTATCAAAATAATTTAATTTTCGTAAAACACTGAAAATTATTAACCTTCCAAATTATTCTCATTGAAATGAATCATGTAGCTTGGCTAATAGGAAGGCCAAGAAGGCAAAATCAAATACACAGTGTTAATAATAATTTATGGTAACGCACTAACGCGTTATTGACCTTTCGGCTCCTTTTTAGTTTTGGTATGAACACTGTGACATATCACTGATTTATGACTATGATTGCAGAAGAAAAGAGTAGAAAATCAATGAATGACTTTTGTGGTTAGAAAGAAAATCAATAGTAGAATACAGGACATGAAGTCTTAATTCTCAAACAAAGCGTTGAAAGGAAAAAGACAATCACAACACAACTCAACTCAAAGCCTGTGATCAAGTGAAGTTTCATTGCTACTCCCCCTCCACCACATTCATTTTATGAGGTATTTACTAGTTATCATATACACCCATGTTTTGATTTCTACATGAAAAACCAAAATAAAAAGTGGGAAATAGTAAAGCTTCTTCATTAGTGGATTGCACATCAATTTCCTCACATCTGGTAGTCGGATACGTAAAATGCAATTGCAAACATTTGCTTTTGAGTGTTTCTTTTCTCATTTATACTTCTTCAACTTTCACTTTCATTAGACTCCTGACGTAGCAGTTTGTAGAAATGTTATATACTGTTGGTTGCCAATTTTAGTAGTTAAAGATGTGATTTCTTTTGATTGCTGAAGCCTTCATAGTTGAGCCTTTGCCTGACAACATTACTGGAAGGGATGAAGCTTGGAAATTGGCTCACGAGTGTTTTGTTCCTCATTGTCGCCGCAGTGAGCAATGCAGTAGGTAAAGCACAATTTCACTTTTCTATTTTATTGTTTACTTGCTAATCTATTAAACTTTCTGATTCACTTGAAGGTTTTAAATTATGGTTGTGGTTATGATTTTAACAGTGGTTTGTTATGTTGCTCCCAAAACCTTGATGTTATGTTGCTGCCAAAACCGTCGTTTGTGGACTGTTTTTTAAAACCTACTTGATAATTAGCATCGAGGTTTTTAAGTTGAAACCTTTACTTTTCTTACATGAATGTTATAAATGGTACTATTTTTTTCTGCTTAGTTTGTTTCAGCAGCTGGGTTTGGAGAAGGAATAAGTAGATGTAGATACAAGGAGGAGTTACTTGAATGTGTCTCGTATTATTTCATTGATGAAGCGTCACATTTTTTAATGTAGGTGCATTTGTGGGGATAAACATTGGCACTGATGTTACTGATCTTCCATCTGCTTCAAATGTAGTTGCTATTCTGAAAGCACATCAAATTCAACATGTGCGTCTGTACGATGCCAATGAGCACATGCTACAAGCCCTTTCAAAATCTGGCATTGAAGTAATTGTTGGAGTCACAGATGAAGAGATACTAGGCATTGGAGAATCTGCATCAGTTGCTGCAGCATGGATTAGTAAGAATGTGGCTGCATACATGCCATCTACTAACATCACAGCAATATCAGTTGGTAGTGAGGTTCTCACCTCAGTCCCAAAAGTTGCACCTGTTCTTGTTCCTGCCATGAACCATCTGCACAAAGCACTTGTTGCTTCAAACCTTAACTTTCGAGTTAAGATTTCAACTCCGCAGTCCATGGATATAATTTCTAGGCCTTTTCCTCCTTCTACGGCCACCTTTAACTCCTCATGGAACTCCACAATCTACCAACTTCTTCAGTTTTTGCAGAACACAAATTCCTCTTACATGTTAAATACCTACCCTTATTATGGATACACTAGAGGAGATGGCATTTTCCCCATTGAATATGCTCTATTCAGACCCCTTTCTCCAGTGAAGCAAATTGTTGATCCAAACACACTTTTCCACTATAATAGCATGTTTGAGGCTACGGTGGATGCGACCTATTTTGCCATAGAAGCCTTCAATTTCAATAATATACCTATTGTTGTCACAGAAACGGGTTGGCCTAGTTTTGGTGGAATAAATGAACCAGATGCTAGTGAAAAGAATGCCGAAACCTATAATAATAATTTGATTCTGAGAGTACTCAATGGTTCAGGAACCCCAAGTCAGCCAAAGATAGCTATTAATACCTACCTATATGAGTTATTCAATGAGGATAAGAGGAAAGGGCCTGTATCAGAAAAGAATTGGGGTGTTTTTTATGCTAATGGAAGTAGTGTTTACCCTTTGAGCTTTAGTGCTTCCAACCTGCGTAATGGAAATTCTACAGGATCATTTTGTGTGGCTAAAGATGATGCAGACACTGACAAATTGCAAGCTGGCTTGAGCTGGGCTTGTGGACAAGGCCAAGCTAACTGTGTAGCTATTCAACCAGGGCGACCATGCTATTCCCCCAATAACGTCAAAAGCCATGCCTCTTATGCTTATAATGATTATTATAAAAAAATGCATAATGCTGGTGGAACATGTGACTTTGATGGTACAGCTACAACAACTACCGAGGATCCTAGTAAGTCAATGACCCTTCTTATTTTCTGTTTTATTTTCAATCTTCTGATATCCTGGTTTTGTCACTCTTCCAAGTACTTCTTTGTACTGTCAAACATATATAACCAAGGTTTTAAATTGCGATTTAAGATTGCAGATAAATGCAGCCACAATTGGGTATGCAATGCAGTTTTTGACCATAATTGCAGTTTTGAACTTGATTTAAAAATCTTGCTTTTAAGTTCGCTCCTAGAACTGATAAGCATGGATCCCATTATCTGCCACCATGGTTTTAAATTGCCTTCATGATTGCAGTTTTATCATGTTTCTTGATGTTGCATTTCATCCTGATTCTTCATTATAAGGAAATTGTGGATATGTGCCATAATTGCAGTTGCATTGTGGTCATAACTAAAAAAAAAAAAACCTTGATACTGCGACCAAAATCACTATCGCAGAATATGTTTTAAAACCTTGCTATCCAATTTGGTATCAAAGACTTACCTTGAAAAATAATACGAACGACTTTTTAACCAATCAACTCAGGAACAAGTGTAAGAGTAGTAGAGGACGAAAATGGTTTTGGGATAAAGAAATTGCTTAAGGAGAAAGAAATTTCACTTTTCACGTATTTGTCAGACGAGTAAAAATAGTGATCACTCTCAAAAATTTATCTAGCAAGACTACAAAATAGTCATGATTTGCAAGTTTTATTTGATTCTTTTAAGTTTATCACTATGTTTTCTTAGAAGTGCTATCACATTGTCATGCCCTCTGTTGTATAAGAGTTAAGCTATTAATGATGGATATTTTTGCTGCATTACAGGTTATGGGTCCTGTATATATGCGGGAAGGTGAGAACGACTGAGTCTATGTGCACATCAATTATGAATTAATCTTACAAGTATTTGTTATGTTTATCAAATCTGATCTTGTATTGAATTGAATATTTTGATGACAGTGCTAACTCAAGCATTGGTGCAAGGAGTTCATCTTCTACAGCAATTGGACTTGGACCAGTAAGTTCTGATCAAGTTGGAGCTAGTTTGAACCTGCAAGTGTCCACTTTTCAGTATCTGATATCTTCTATTAGTGTACTTTTTGCTATAATGATGTGATGACCAAAAGGTGATTGCAATTTGATCAATTATCTTTTTTGGTCCATATTTTTGGTTCAGATGTACCTTCTACGTGTCATTTTGTATGGTGTATATGGGATCATTCTTGGTAGGTAGCTGCATAAATTTAATGCTTTAGCTGGAGAATACAAATGATATATCAGGCCTTCAAGAAACCATTCCCATTGTTGTTGACACAAAGTGTAGTCAATTTATGAGTAGTGAGTATGTCATTTCTACTTAGACTATTTTCCACACACTCTTTATACATCTGCACTTAAACCCATTCTTACAGCTATGCCTGTGATTGATGCTCTTCCTAATTTCGAATAGAACCTATGCGTGAGTGATGCTCTCTCTAATCTCAAATATAAGGAAAACATTATATAATTTTAAATGCAATTTCGATTAAATAAAATTATTGTGATAATATAATAATAACTTCAATAGATATTACATAAAATAGTTAAAGTTTACTAATATTTAGAGTAACTTAAATGACCTTTTTTACAGAGGGTCTCGAACCAAATAATGGCACAACGAGTCAAGATTAAGCAAACTAATAAAGCATACAATTTCAACAAACAAAAATGGCTTTAAATAAATGCTTACCCTAATCCGAGGGGAAATTAAGACCTCAAGGATTAGCAATCAAACAGGTATAGAACAAAACAGTTAGCAACCGATTTGTAAAAGATAACATGAAAATGCACCATTTATTAAATATACACTAGTGTATATGGAAAATCGTCTAAAGGTTATCTTAAGGGCGGATGGAATTCAAATTTAACTACAGAAGTTATACTATACAAGCTTCTATTTCATCATTGTCATATAAATATTATTTAGTAGTTGATTTCGGTCACACTGAGTCATCAGCTTCCTGAGAATCACTCCTGTCAGGCTCCCCTGCATTGGTATGATTCTCTGGAACATCATGTTTTGGAGAAGGCTTAAATGCAGGTTTTCTATTGGCACCTCGGGCATTCTCCTCCCCTTCTTTCTCAGCCACTTCTACATGTGAATCTCAGTCAAGGAAATAATCAAAGTGAGATTGTTTCCACTATCAAGAGGAAACAAACTAGCTATTGTCATTGATGCAAATAGAGATTTTAGTTATCCCATGGACCCCTGTCTCTCTGAGTGAGGAAAACAATAGGTAAAAGGATAGTAAGAAATAGGCAATAATTATCTCATTAACAATGCATCTCTAAGAAAAAAATTCAAAGTAAAATCATAGATTTATTTAAGGATTAAAAAATGGAAATTCACTACATTGTTGTTTGAGACCAACAGAGATGTAAGGATATCAAGATTTTCAGCTGTTCTTCCAGCCATGATTTTGAGGAGATCTTTCTCAGCACGGGAGACAAGCTCAGGCTGGAAAATGAAATATTAAAAAATATGTTACTATGTGATCATATATAATCTATACATTCAGGCAGAAAGGCATGTTAAGGTCTGTCATGTGAATGAATAGAATACATTAAGATCAGCTCCCTTGAAAATAATTCTTATGTTGTCATTTATTAAAGTAGACTTGAATTCATTTCATTATTTTTCATTTTTACCATTTTAATATGATGTCATTAACTCATTGTGAGTGAAACAATATATTCCCTCTCTACCCCAGCATAACAGTAAACAAGTAAATAGAACATTATAATTCAGCACATCAAAACTGTAAGACAACCAGCATAGTAATATTCCTGAACAGTTTGTTATATCCGATATCAATCAGGATATTAATACAATAACAAAGAAATAAAAGAGTGTACACATTAAATTTATTCCTTCCCCTCAATTCTTCCCTTCGCTCTTCACCCCTAAGCTAGCAAAGAGCTCCGGAACCCAAGATGTCTGAGTCAAAAGAAATGCATGACTTCATGTTTTAACAACTTACTTACGATAATAGCTACAATGATTATTGAACAATGAACAATGAAAGAGTCACAAAAGAAAAACAAAAGCAGTCAAAGGCAAACTTGCAACAAATAGCAGTTGCTACAAAGAGAATTAACACAACTACATTGGTAACTAGTCTTGAGCTAGCTACATTCATGTAACTTCTTCCATCAATTATGAGTGAACATATTTTCCCTTGAATAGAACATCTAATATGGAAACTATTCTCTCTTTGGGTTTGGTCCAAGACTTGCATCCTACTTCCCATAAGGCGTCTAATCATCAACAAATCACCCTCCAATGCTTCCAATTCCATTTCTGCCTCTTCCTTCTCTTCTTCATTTGATGATTCACTATCTATTTTTCCATTTGCTAATATAACCATATTCCTTTTTGTTAGGCATTCTGAAACATAGTGTCGTCTCCCCAAGCATTTGAAACATTTCACTTCACTTGTCTTCCTTTTCAGTGGTGAATTATTGGACTAGTTAAGTGACTTCTCATGTGAAGACATGACTAAACTTGAAGAAACTCCTTTATCTCTCCAATTAGAATTATTATTGTAAGAGCTCCTTCTCATGGTTCCCTTCCTCTTGAGTTGCTGTTCTATTTGGACAGCCTTATGCAACAAATCTTCCATTTCAACATACTCTTGCATCTCCACAACATCTCTAATATCATAGTTCAACCCCTTAAAAAATCTAGTCATGGTTGCTTCATTCTCTTTATTAATATTAGCTCTAATCATGGTCACCTCCATCTCCTTAAAATACTCCTCCACACTTCTATTCCCTTGAGTCATCCTTTGAAGTTTGAGTTGCAAATCCCTATTATTGTTTGTTGGAACATATCTCTTTCTCATAATTTTTTTCATTTCAGTCCAAGATTCCACCATGAGTTCTTCATTTCTAATCTCTCCCTTTGGTACTTGTTCCACCAAATTAAGGCATAATCTGAAAATTCAACAGCTGCTAATTTCATCTTTTCCTCTTCATTGTACTCATTGCAAGCTAACACATGTTCTAATTTTATCTCCCACTCCATGTAAGCTTCAGTATCATTTCTTCCTTTGAATGTTGGGATATTTAACTTGATTGCATCAACTCTAGGTTGTCTTTGTTCTCCCTCATTCTCCCCTCTTCTATCTTCATGATTGCCTTGTTCTGCTTGCTCCATTTGATCCAATCTATCATGAAATCCATCACTTTGTTGTTTCATTAGTCTCTCCAAATGTTAAGTCAAGGCTTACATTTGCATTTGTGAAATTCCAATATCTGGTATTTCCCCTGCCATGCTTCAACAAACAGATTAGAAATAACAATAAGTTTATCATCACAACACTCTCTCATGTGTATATACTCTACGCTCGTGTTTCATTCAATACGGTTTTTTTATCAATGATCACACTATCTTTTACCACTAATTCTCTACTTGAGGTTCTTATAAGAATCAAACAATCTATCATCAATATTCACTCTTAAGATTTGTAATGACAATACTAAAAAAATAAATAAATAAGTATATAAAAAATTTTAGAATCCACAAAAAAGAAGCAGCAAAGAACAATTTTGCTATCAAGAAACAAGCATGACCATACGAATTTAAACTTGAAACAAGAATTTAACAATTGATGTGCACTAGATATAAAGATTGATAACTTTTTTTTTAACTTCTTTCTCTCTCTCTCTCTCTTTTAAACAAAAAAAACTTTTTTTTTTAACATGCGAAATAGTACCGTGAACAATGTGGAACAATAATAGTGACAAAAACAGTGAAAGGTGTACACAACGAAACCTTGCTCTGAATACCAAATGATAAGATTCCAAATAAAATTGACACAAAAAGATTTAGGGTTTGGAATCAATTAAAAACAAAAAATTAGGAATTGAGAACAAAATGGAGAAAACTTGAATAAAGGAAGGTGCCACAAACAAAGTTTGATAAACTTAAGGGTGATCAAGCAAGGAAGAAACCTTAGCAGAGAAATATCCTCACTTTGGCAAAAATCATCTATTGTCTTTTTTCTCAATTCAACAATCATAAATACAAAAATTTAGGGTTTAGGGTTTTCTTAAGCTTGACTTTGTTTATAATAAAAGGAAAAGAAAAGCAAAAGAATTAAAACTAATCAAATATTAAACTAATGGTCTTGGGTTCAAATCCTTGCTCCACAAAAAAAAAAGTTATTTTTATTTTAACTCTCCAAGCTCACTACGCATGTAACGAGTTTAGCCTCCTCAGTGACTTGAGTCTTTGACTGTTGGGTCTTCCATAAAAAAATCATTTTTTATTGTAAAACTTCTTGGACCTTTCTAATTCGTCCTCTAATCATTGGTCCAATTCATCTTTCTTCTCGTGGTCTTGGGCTTTTATGTTCACATCAACTACATTCATATGAATTATAGAAAGAATTTATCCAAAACTAAATTTCCCAATTATAACCATTCAATGGGCAAAGATAGCATGGAATCAACATCCGACAAATAAAAGACAACGTTGAACTTAAATAAAAACAATGTAGAAATGTTTTTATTAAATAACTAAGCAAAGATCAACTATAAGCATTAAGCAAATTACCAAGCAAAAATAACTAAGCAAAGCATCACCAAATGGAGAAAAAAATGGGTTTCAAACATGGTTGTTAACCTCATCATAAGTGAACTAGTATAATTAGATAAGTCCAATGGTTTAAAGTCCTCAATTTGTTTAAATTGCAACCAAACTCAGTTTTGGGTGGACTTAAGTAAACTCAATGGAGTTTGTGTGAAATTGCTTGTGATTTCAAGGGTAAATTCACTTGGGGCTCGCACCTAAAAATGACACTCATTTGGGGCCATCCTGAGGCATATTTAGACAAAAAATGCTAGGGAATCTTAGTTCTCTTCTTTCTTGTGACCAAGGTAGTCAAACTCAAGATTCTAATTCCAACCCGTATTAAAGAGACCAATGTATATTTGTATATAACTATTTCTGTTAAAACAATTATTTTATTTTCTGTTTTATGTTCTCTTGTATATAACATCTATCAGCTGTATGATTCTAGTTAAGTTGATCAATACTTTTTCTCATGGAATTCTTTCTTCAATTTTTGTTGAGTTTTTATCGTGCACTTCTAATATGGTATCAGATTAAATATTCTCTGCACATTTTTCTTTTTCCTTGATTTAATCAACTATGACTTCCATTAGCCAAAATTCTTCTCTTAACCAAACTCTAGATCATCTCATCAATCTTTCTAATCCTTTCTATCTCCACCCTGGAGAAAACCCAACCATCTTTCTTGTAATTGTGTTTCTCAATGAATCAAATTATTACTAGTGGGAACGTGAAATGATGGTAGCTTTAGAAACAAAGAATAAAGAAAAGTTTGTCTCAAACAATTTTCCTTGTCCTCCACCTTCAAAACCTCTACACAATGCATGGTGACGTTGCAACCGTATGGTCATCTCTTGGCTTACAAGATCCATGACTCCAACCATAAAGCATTATGTTATGTGGATGGAAACAACAGTTGAGATATGGAAAGATCTTCAAGATCGATTTTCCCATGCTAATAAATTTCGTGTAGCTGATTTACAACACAAAATTCAAAGTTGCGAATAAGGAGATTCATCTGTTTCATAATACTATACTCACTTGAAAGTTACGTAGAAAGAACTTAAAATGTATTGTTGTATTCTTTCTTGCACATGCTCACCTGCGTGTTCTTGCGACATTCTTGTCAAGCTTAAGAAGGAAAGGGAAGACTACTACATTATACGATTTCTTCATGGATTAACTGATAGTTATTCTCAAATCCATTCACAAATAATGTTAATGGATCCTCTGTCTTCTCTTGTTAAGAGTTTTTCTCATTTCTCAGCATGAACGAGAGTTTCTTGGCATTTCTTCAAACATGTCATCTCAAGATTCTAATGTCTTACCACGAAGTCTTCCTCTGCTTCCAACACAAAACCTTCTCTTAGTAAGTCCTCTAGTCATAACAACAAATATTGTGAGAATTGTAAGAAAATCAATCACACCATTGAAACTTGTTACTGACATATTGGTTTTCCTCCGGGCTATCAAAAGTCAAATCGTAGCAATTCATCCACCACTGCTCTTCCAGTTAGTTTGGCCAATGGTAATCCTAATGCATCCTCACAATCTTCCTCTATGCTAGATAGTTAGTTCCAATCAAGATTAATTTTACTTCTCCAAAGAGCAGTACCAGGCCCTCTTAGCTCTCTTTCAACAACACAAGTATACCTCGTTCTCCATCAACACATGTCCACTTCTACTTCTAATCCAAGTGATAATTTATGTTTTTCCTCTTGGACAGTGGAGCAATAGACCATATATGCCCGTCTAAATCGTTTTTTCAATCTTTACATCCTATACAACCTATTCCAATCAAATTACCAAATAACACCACTGTTTTTGCCACTTTTTTT